ATTATTGGAAATACGAAGCAATTTTAATATAAAAGTTGTATGACTACATTTAACAGTTATTCTTAAATATTTAAGATTTAAAATTTAATTAGGACTGTGGGCCATGTGGCCTCCCCCACCTCGACCTTTTTAGATCTATTGTGGATATCCTTGAATCGTTGTTTAAAGTACCTTGTCTAATTCGGTCTTTTGTAGTAGACTCCATAGATTGGGAAGTAGTTCTCCGGTATAGCTGGTTGCCCTTGGTTTTTCTTCTCCAAGTGTAAGGAATCTCAGTCTTGCTAGACCTTCGCAGTAGCACAATACGTGTACTGCCGTTTCCTCCTCTTTCTGACAGAATCGGCACAAGATCTCTTCTGTCAGACTGATATTATACATGTTTGTTAAGCCTACAATGCCCTGTTAATAGACCTACTAGTACTCTAGTACTTTTTCTATTAAGGCTTAGTAGATGCTCGGTGAGTTTAGGTGATGGTCCTTTTAAGAACTCTTTGGCCTGTCTCTGCCCTGGAGAGTTTTTCCACCACTCCTGAGATTATTTAAACATCCACTGCTTTGTGCATGTTCTGATAGTTGTTTTTGTTACACCACAGAAAGGTTCTGGACCAATAGGAGCATTTGAGGCTCCTTCTCGGGCTAGTAAATTAGCCTCCGCATTGCCCTTATGTTCTCTGTGGCTTGACACCCAGGCTAAGGTTAGTCTGTTTTGACTACCCAGCTTCGAACCTGCCTCTTACGCCGATCGCCAGGTCATCGGCATACCCTAGTCAGTAGAAATCTGCAGATATTAGCATTTTTATGAGTTCGTCCACTAGGACTAACCAGAGGAGAGGTGCTAGTACTCCTCCCTGGGGACAGCCCCTACCTGCTTTAGCTGTCAGAGATGATGTTATTAACCTTTCTTCTAGGCTGGCTTTTATCCACTGACATAGAACTACTGATACCCCTTGCATTGTTAGGGCGTTAATTATAGATATTTGGGAATTACTAAATCTCCCTCAATATCTACGAAAGTTGCTACTGCCATTTCTTTATCCTCCAGGAATTTTGAAAGTAGCCTGTTGAGATTATTCAGGGCCAAATCGGTTGACTTGCCTGGCTGATATGCATATTGACGGTCGCTGAGAGGGTTTTATAGTATTTGGTCTCGTATATATCTATCTATTAGTGTTTCTAGATTTTCAGCATGAATGACGATAGACTGACTGGGCGGTACGACTTTGGTATCATATCATTAAACCTTCCTACTTTAGGAAGGTAAAGGGTGTCTTAGAAATATATTCGTTTATTAATCCGTTTGCTGGCGCAATAGGCACATTCCTGAGAAAGAGGGCAGTTGGCAAAAGGTGGTCCACAGTATTAAGTTTTAGATGCAATGGAGCAATTTACGGGGCTGCAACGTGCTTTTTGTATTCGTGTGTTTTATAAAAACAATGATTCTTATATTCCTGTACGTCATTTGTACAGAAATCATTATAACGTAGCAAGAATGAAAGATACCCCAAGTGCAAATATAATTTCTCAAACTTTTTAACCAATATTTAATTAAATTTGCAGTTGAAACATCATTTATTCTTGCTATGTTATAATAACTTCTGTACAAACGACGCACAATAACAAGAATAATTGTTTACACAAAACTTACGAATACAAAAAGTGCAATGTTGTCCCGTAAATCGCTCCATTGCAACTAAAACTTAACATATATCACCATTTTCCAACTGCCGGCTTTCTCAAAAATGTGCCTATTGCGCCAGCAGACGTATTGATATTTCTGAGACACCCTATATATGACTTTCACCTTTTGCCACACCTATGGTATATGTCGCCAGGCTATACATACTTTAAATATGCATCACATATGTGAAATTAAAGATTCCTGTCCCTTTTGCAGTAGAATGGGATATATTCCATCTACTCCTGGGGATTTGTATGGTTGAAATTTGTTTGTAGCCCATTTAATTTTGTTCGGCCTCTATATTTCTGTAGCTAGCCTCCATTTAAAAGGAGTTGGCCTACGAGACCTTCTTTGAGGGTTGTATGCTACTATGGGGTCTAGCAAAATTTTTGCGGCCGGAAAGTGCACTTCTGTGAGCATTGTTTCCTCGAAGGTTTTTATATAGGTTTCATCATCTTTCCTGAGAAATCCTACTTGGTTTGCAGTACCCTCTATAGCTAGGACTTTGTGGATTCTAGAGCATGTGTGTGTTTCAGATAACTCCTCGTAGAACTTCCTCCACGATTGCCTTGTTATACTTCGTAAGTTTAGCCTTATATAGGACCCAGTATTCGGTTGATTTGGCTTTATTAAATAGCCTTCGCACTTCGCCTCTAAGGTGTTCCAAGTGTTTGTTCCACCAGACTGTTTTTGTTCTTTGCTGTCTTGTTTTCTCCGGACAATTTTCCTCGTAAGCACAATGGCCTTAATTACTTAGTCTACTGCTCGTTCAAGACTTTCTTCACCTGTTATTTTCACCATACCCTCTTCGAGATACTCTCCAAGTGATGTTGAATACCTTTCCCAGTTCGTCTCTCTAGGGTTTCTGTATTTGGTTGAAATTCGGGGTGAGGTAATTAGATCAAATCTAATCTGTCTGTGGTCTGAGCACGATGGTTCGTCTGACACATGCCACTTTGAAATGTTATCACTTGCTTTACTCGAGCACAGAGTCATATCTGGGACTTCTTTTCTCGTTGCTGTGACGAAAGTTTGTTTGATACAAAAACATTTTGTAATGTCGTTGGTTTAATACCTATATTAGCAATTACTAAACCTTTAGATAAGATGAATTGTAATAAAGACTCACCTCTTTTATTGATGTCAGTGCTTCCCCAGATGGTATGATAGGCATTGGCATCGCATCCTATGATGGGTTGGAGGTTAGCCCTTGCCGCATATGAGACTATTTCGCCTATTATATATTCCTAAATATACAGGGTGGTCTATAAACACCCTGCAGGTTCTTATACATATTTTACTGTTTTCACATCGTCAAACAATTTTAATTGATTTTATTTGCTATATTGTATACAGGGTGTGTCAAAACGCGAAATTACGATTTTATCAATTTTTTAAATGGAATACCCAGTATTAATTAATTGGTGGTATAACATACATTTTATTTCATTTAAAAAAATTGAGAAAATCTTAACCTCGCACTTTGACACACCCTATATACAATATAGAAGCGAATTAAGTCTATTAAAATTGTTTGACGATGTGAAAACAATCAAATTTGTATAGCTACCTGCAGGGTATTTTGCTTTATAATATATAGGTTTGGTCAGCTCCTCGTTTATGGACTACCCTGTATATTCAAGAATAATTATTCAATGTGTTCATAAAACTTTTATAATAAAAATATCTTCGTATTTCCAATAATTAAACGGCTATCGATCAATTACGTACTTATGGGACACCCTGTACATGTGTTATTGGCTAACATGGATAAGTAAATTTATAAGAAATTTTATGCTAAAATAATATACAGGGTGTTGCATTTGAAAAAATTTAGTAATTGAGTAAATTTAACTTAAAATTAACCATATTTAAGACATGTTTGAAAACACTTTTTATAAAATATTTTAGTTTTATCACCACTATTCGTTAGCTTACTATTTTATAAGTCTATATTTTAAACCATTTTTAAATCATTATAAACCTGCCTAAATTATGATAATTTAATTTGGGATCTACATCATTTTATAATTTCATTAAAAAATTAATTGCTTAGTAACCTTGTAATATTTTTTTAAAAATTTTTAGGGATGAATACAGTGTTACCAAAGCATTCTAAAACTGAAATAAAATACTGTTTAATTTAAAAAATATACATTTTTATTTGCCAGGCAAAAACGCAACACCCTGTATATCCAAAAATATTTTTAAAATACGTAATTTTTAAATACATATAACTTTTATTTAAAACTTATTTGCGTGTCTGTTGAACAAATGCACACTTATGGGAGACCCTGTATATAAACATATATCTAATCATCTATATAAACATATATCTGAATATCTTTCTAAACATCTATCTGAACATCTATCTGAACATCTATCTGAACATCTATCTGAACATCTATCTGAACATCTATCTGAACATCTATCTGAACATCTATCTGAACATCTATCTGAACGTCTATCTGAACATCTATCTGAACATCTATCTGAACATCTATCTGAACATATATTTGAACATTTATCTAAACATCTATCTAAACATATATCTAAATATATCTAAACTTCTATCTACATATCTATTTTTGTTTGCTTTTTTTTTAGAGGAGAGAATTTTGTTTTATAAAATTGTTACGGGGCCGGAAAATTGACACGGGGCCCGATCTAGAGAATTGTCCTGGGGCCCGGTCTGACTCTCGGCGGTCCTGTATATCTATACTTTTATCTAAACATCTATTGATATGATATTCCTTTGAGGACACTCCTGGGTCTCGATAAATAACAGTTCGAGCATAGTACAGTACATATAGAAATTTTGATAAAAGAATAAAATCAATTATTTTGAAAGATGTTTATCTAAACATCTATTTAAAATGTATCTAAGCTGTCTTAACATCTGTCTATGCATCTGTCTAAACATGTGTCTAAACATGTGTCTAAACATGTGTCTAAACATGTGTCTAAACATGTGTCTAAACATGTGTCTAAACATCTGTCTAATCATTTATCTAAACATCTATCTAAACATCTGTCTAAACATCTATCTAAACATCTATCTAAACATCTATCTAAACATCTGTCTAAACATCTGTCTAAACATCTATCTAAACATCTATCTAAACATCTATCTAAACATCTATCTAAACATCTATCTAAACATCTATCTAAACATCTATCTAAACATTTATTTAAACATCTCTCTAAACGTACCTACATTTTTATCTTGACACTGTCCCTGCTTTTTAAAGTGCTCTTATTTAATAAACAGTAAATATACTTGCAATATAAATTTGAAATTAAAATGTATTTAGTATTTCAGATCCAATATGGACTTACGACTGCACGAGCAACACATGTACAAGAAGACCTCTGAACGATGAAGAAATTCCAACCACCTTGGGAGAATGTAACATGATATGCGGCATGCCCTCTTTATGGCCGAAACCAAGATCCGTAAAAGTAATTAACAAAAAACTATCGACATTCAGAAAAAGCCAGATTACAACCAAAATCGTCTCGCCAAAAAGCGTAGAAGAAGACACGAAGAAAGCTTTGGATATATTCATGATGAGTCTACCTTCCACTGGTCGAATCCAAATGGAAAACGCCGACTTGAAATACGTGTTTATCAATATTAAAGTGACTAGCCATGAAACTAAACTTCATACGACAAGTGACGAAAGCTATAAACTAAATATTACCAAAATTGATAACCATGCGCTAGCAAATATTGCTGCTAAAACTTATTTTGGAGCCAGGCACGCTTTAGAGACATTGAGCCAGCTCATACTATTCGACGATGTTACCAAAAAGCTACAAATCTACCACGATATCGAAATTCAAGACAGTCCAGCTTTTTCTCATAGAGGCTTGATGGTGGATACCGCGAGAAATTTCTTTCCCATAGAGCAGTTGATGAGCATTGTAGATGGTATGGCGATGAATAAGTTGAACGTTTTCCATTTGCATTTAACGGATGCTGTCAGCTTTCCTATAGTGCTGCCCAGTAATCCTTGGTTGGCCAAATATGGTGCTTACGGTCCTGGTATGGTCTATACGCCTGAAGATATTAAAGGTTAGTATATTTGGAGGGAACTGCAATATCTGCTACATTTATCTTTCTTGTTTCCATCTAGAATAGGTCTTAATATATAACTAAAGATTTTAAAAACCTTAGTGGCCAAGCATTTACATGAATTTGTCGATTTGTTCTTATCGGCTCCTCTAAACTTTTTTCTAATATCTCACCAAACCTGACAAATAATTTATACAGCAATCAATCCATCTTCAAAAGTCTTTAACCGACAGGTCTGGTAGCGCCTTCATTCCTTCATACCCAGAATAGCTATATCTATCTTTATCCTTATATTTGTCAATCCCAAGCAGGTAAATTTAAGACAGAACATTATGGTCTCTTCGGTAGTGTATTTCCCTGCGTTCCCAGTATTTAGGTAGTATCTTAGGTCTTGTGCCTTTGGTTTTACTAGGTTCTCCGCAAATTGGTTTTGTGGCCTCTTTTAGGTTCTAGGACGAAAAGGGTGTATAACTGCCTTGCTAGAGCTTCGTATCTAAATATAACGTGATAAGAGGTTTCTTTTTCATTGATTCAGAGTCTACACGTGGTGGAATTATTTCATCTCGTTATTATTCTTTAGTAATCCAACAATAGTGGATATCTGGGGCCTAGCGAGTTGTACTACCTTAGCGTTGATTTGACCCTCAAACAAGTATTTCTTCTCACCCTTCCTCACTTGCCTCGTGTCAGTACTTGTTGACCTAGAATACTTTGGAAACCTTCCAAAATCAATCTGACACTAGAATTTTGATACAGTTATACTCAAAGCTTGTGAGCTACTTCTAGGAAACCCTATTAGCATCGGGTAATGAAAAAAGACTAAACATTCCTTACACTTGGAACCAAAGATAAATACTTACAAAAGAAGATACTTTCTAATTTATAGAGTCCTGTCATAATAATTATAACAGTTATCCAACAGGTTTGATCGAATACGCAAGAGTCAGAGGGGTGCGGGTGATCCTTGAAGTCGATGCACCGAGCCACGTCAATGCAGGTTGGAATCATTTGAATTCAGACAAAGAGAAAATCGTCATCTGCGGAGATACAGACGTCTTTAACGGTCATCTTAATCCGGACAGTAAGAAAGCTCAACAATTACTAGAAACCGTCTACGCAGATTTGTTGGAACTTGGTACAGATAGAGAAACGTTCCACATCGGTGGCGATGAGGTTAATCTCAGATGTTTGGAAAGAACCAACGCTTCCAGTAAATATACAGACATATACGATTTTTGGGCGGATTACATGAACAACATTTTTGCCAAAGTCGGAAGAGCGTTCCACGGTAATGTACCTAATAATTTAGTGATATGGTCCAGTGATCTCACTGACAAGTAAGTAAAACTGTCTAATAGTGTTAAATTGGGTAATAACAACCTGCTTGTCTGCTTTTAGGAACCTAGGTTCACTCATTTACTCCAAAAATCTGGTAGTTCAATACTGGTTTGGTCAGTTGGATGCGATCCTACGCAACGGAAATAATATCATATTTTCAACCGTTGGAAAATGGTACCTTGACTGTGGATTCGGATCATGGAAAGCTTCTGGAACAAATGGAGTTTGTGATCCATACACGCCCTGGCAGACCTTTTACAATTACAGACCATGGCAGAGTTATACAAGGTACGTCATTTTTATTTACAATCGTGTGGCAACTAAGGTTATATGCACTCACTAGGTTATGGGAACACTTTTGTCAATATTCCCCAAATCTGGGTTAAAAACATCGACTGTGTAAAATGGCAACGCCGCAATATACACTAGCTTTATTCTTATGGATTGACAAAAGGGTTCTCGAGTGACCCATGACATATTGCACTCTTTTATTTGGTACCTACAGCTTTACCGCACCGGGTGCAATAAACATGTAAAATTGAGTTTTTAATTTAACAAAATTAATCAATATACGAGAAGATCTTTAAAACTAACCATAGGGAATATATTAAAACTAACCATAGGGAATATATTAAAAATGTCATTAATTTATGCAGAGCCTATTTTTCTTGTCTGGCATTAAAAATATTTGTCCAGGTAAATCGGAAACAGAAATCTCTTTCTATGTTTTTTGCTTTCCGTGTTTACCGATGTCTTCAACTTGCTAGCCCCATGTAGCGCGAGGTGACTGATGCACTGTTGCCGATTATATTCCTTTACATTATAACTGCATGCCAGATAGGCAAAATATATGTACTATATTTTATTTTTCTTGCAATATCGAAATACCCTTTTTGGCTATTCCAAGCTTTACATATTATGATGTATTTATCTGTGGCATCTTTGATTGGTGCAATGGTTTTATACAAAACCAAATAGATGATACGGAAGCTCTTTAATGAATTGGTAGACATCTTCTTTGTTTGCATTAATAAATATAATACACGTAGTAATATTATTTTTTTTTTATAAGTTTCAAAAACCAAGTTTTGGGAGGCGAGGCTTGTCTTTGGACCGAAGAAGTGGGAGAGGACACCCTAGAAACCAGAATTTGGCCACGAACAGCGGCTTTGGCGGAAAGGCTTTGGAGCGATTTACCCAAAATTGATATTATCGATGTGTCAACAAGACTATCCGATCAAAGACAAAGGTTAATTGGCAGAGGACTGAAGGTTGCAACTATTTGGCCCAAATGGTGTTCGCTAAATCCTGGAAAATGTCTTTGATGCACTGAATGGTAGATGTGTTTTAGATCAATTTGTAATTGTAGTTTATTTCAGTTTTATTAAATTTAAACGCCACTGATATTTTGTAAATTGTATTTTTGATAAAAGTTTTTATGAGGAAAAGACCAAAGTTTTTATAGCTCATATCATGGCCGCTTTTTGAGCAACAAAAAAATGAAATATAAATAACCAATAGGAAATATTTAATTTTATGAATGTATTTTTTTAGGCAGTTTTTTATTTATTCAAACATTGTTTTATTTAAGAAAAATCGACTGCTAATATTTTATAAATAATTTAATAAAAAATTAAATAAATACCCAGAACTTTTTTTATTGATTTTGGGTACTGTCAAAATTTGTTCATATTTTAGTATGTTACTTTTTAGGTCAATAAAAGTAAGCAACTTTCTTATGGACCTTAAGTTTGCAGGTCTACAGGGTGAGCTGTTAGAAGGAGTCATAAGTAAGGAGTGCAGACAAAAATTTGTCACAAATATCAGTACCACTCGCAAGTTATTCATGTTTTTTCCATGAAACTTATGGCATGTGTTAGACTTGTAAATAGTTTGGTATTGCTTACTTTCACTTTGTAAAATACATCATACATAGTGTTAAAAAAATAGGAATATTAATTACTGAAATAAGGTGCATTTTCATATTTAGAACATGACTTCTGATTACTTATTTGTTATGTTAAATATTCGATAATATTAACTAATAACAGAAAAACATAAATAATATCTAATACAAAAATATAACAGTTTTTTTACATAGATTTTTAAACTTCCCAATAAATTATAAATCAATATAAAAGAAAAAGAAACTGCATTTTAATATACTTGTTTTATTTCACAGATTAAATATTTACACACTATCAAAATCTGATTCATATTGATAAATAAAACACTTAAAGGGCACTTTATATAATTTTCGAATCATGGGTATCACAAAACACTTGAAATATGAGCACACATGCCTATAATCGTTCTTTATCTTTATCTAGTAATGAGATTTTCTTGAATTTATTTGTACCTACTCTATAAATAACATGTACTTCACATTATTCGCAAATAGTGAATATACTGCAAAAAAAAAACGATGGCACGCTACATAGAAAATTTCTATCTATTATCAAAAATTCCTAATAACATACTTAGCTAGCACAAAAACATATCAATAAGTTGCAATTTTAGGCTCTTTAAGCTCGTATGCAATGTACTTCTAATGTAACCCTAATATCCATGCAACCGTCTAGTGTCCACAACGGCAAGACTTTTATAGCACATCTCATAAAGGTTACAAAGTGAAGTTCGGAAAACATAACACTAGCACTTTTACAGTACTTTCCTTGAAAGTTGCTCTGAAACGTTTTCTAGATGTTATAATGTGAATTCATGCTATAACATTATACAGTGTCCACAGATGAACTTAACAATACTTGTAAAAATATTTATTTTAAATTATAAAAAAGTAATTCTTCATAATTTCTTTTGCTTGTTAAATAAATACGATGAACGTGGAGAAATTATGACAAATGACTTTTTTGACAAACTATATGTAAAATAGTCTATTGAGGATATAGTAATATCTGAATAAAACAATAAAAAATTGTATAAATTTATTATTAAAAATCTTTTGAAATCACGTACCAATATCACACAAGTAGAGGTAGGTAATAATAATATAGGTATATCACAAGGTAACACAATTACACAAGCTAAAATGGTGAACGATTGTACAAACGTAGTTAAAAAGTGTATTTATATAAGGTATATTTTAAAGGTCACTAGATTTTTATTAAGATGGCAGTTGTACGATGCTAAAAAAAGATATTTACCTAAAACTGGTACTAATCATAGTATTAATATAAATGAGAACTTAATTATATAGTTTCTTCTGTGAAAAATAACTTTGGAGGTAATAAATTTACTTGTTTAACTATTATTAAAGAAAATAATATGTATATAGAAATGAAAAATATGCTCGTTTAAATCGTTGCACTTATTTTTAGTTAATTTTTACTTACTTTGTTGTTTTAAATAAATAATGAAATTTATTTTAAATTTTACAAATTTGATGCTTAATAATGGATGTCCAAGTTATACAGAGCTTTGTGTAAAAACGTTTTTTAGAACGATATTCTGCTATGAAATAAAAATATATAATTTCAGATGTTATATATTCTTCTTTAACCAATTCTGTATTAGATTTTTACTAGAATTATAATCCAGTACAAAGGAAACCTACAACATATTTTTAAAATGTATTTTTAGTGATTAAGAATATTATTACACTAGGGCGATCATAGGTGCAGCATTTTTAAAGTCTGCGTGGCATTTGATATTGTGCAGCAAACGTACAGCAAAACGCTAGGACGTCAGTATATGACTCTATACAATGGATCAAAATAAATATGGTCACCTTATATTACCCAGAAGTTAGTTTTGTAAATCTCTATTATAAATATTTCGTGTAAAATGTAGGCAGTCATTTAATTGTATCTTCTCGTTTACAATGATTTATTTTTTATTGTAGTTGGAAAATAAAATATTAAAATCTAAAACAACTAGCCAGATAGCACAGGACGTTCTAAGGACGTCCATGTACATTTATCGTCTGTACGTCCAGGACCAATTCTGGACGTTTTAAGTATGTCTAGTTTAGTAAATCCTCGGGACGTCAAGAAATAGATATCCGTAGAACGTCAATTCTACGTGCTTTATTATATTTCCATGGATTCACATTCGCATTGTATTATTATTTGGTTATATAAACAACATTATATATAATGAGATAATATAAATAATTATTAAAGATGGCATTGTCCCAATATCCAATAGAATAAACGCCAAATAGACAAAAACGAAGAAGAAAGGGACATTGTTGACAAATGACATTTTATTATTATTTATTTAGATTCAAGCACTGAAATATTTTCAGGGCTCAGGTTTTATTAAAAAAAAAAAGAAAAAACATGGTGTTCAATGTTCATGATTCGATGGTATGTACATATTATACGACTAAAACTTCTATCATTCCGCCATTTGACTGTGATTCGACTGTGAGTTTGTTGTTGATTAACCCTAGAACCACATGAGGTAGGTAATTGAAACACTAACCACAACTTGGGGTCGCCGATGACCCATTTTTTATATAGCTTCTGATGTGACATGAAAAACATATACCTATTATAATTAAGTTTTTAGATAATTTATTGGTAAGCTTTTTAATAGATATAACACAATAAAATAATATTCAGCAAATAAACAGAAAAATAGAAAACAATCATTTTTGATACATAAAAAAAACAAATTCTGAATAAAAAAAAATAAAGAAAAAGTAAGATTAAAATTTACAATCCTCGCAAATGCTCGACTGATGTTTTGCGCACATATTTTTACCACAGTGAACGCAAAAATGACGTCCTTTTCGGTCCCGAGATCTTGGGCAAAAGTCACAACGACGTGAACGGTTTTGGGTTTCTTGGGACGGCAGTTCATCAGGATATCCAAGGTAGTCGCGAATCGATTGCCGTAGTTTTCTTGGCAATCGTGTATTTTCTGCTCGTTGCTTCATATAATCTAGTAATAAAACATCATTTTTTTTTAAATAATTCGGGTATCATGCTTGTCCAAAGTTTGGAGTCGATGTAATACAAATGAATTAATTCCGGCGGCATCTAACATACCAAACAAAATTTTTAAAGGCCATCTTCTCGTTTTTCGGGCAACTGTTTTTGAATGACACAGCTGGTCAAATGTATTGACCCCTCCCTTAGTCGCATTGTAAAACATTCCAATTTCTGGATTTTTTGTATCTAAATTTATATCATCGTGAAAATGCATAGAACTTATTAACAGTACGCATTTTTTCTTATCTGAGACATGTGAAACTAAGGTTAGATCTTTCGAAAAAGCAAAAGCTGAAGAAGGGATTTCTGTAGGATTTACATAGGTACAAAAATTGTATTGGTATTTCTCTTTTGTTTTTGCGAAGTGTTCCTACCATGGTAAATTTTTTTTCAAGCAGCTTTTGTGCTAATTCGTATGAAGAAAACCAGTTATCCATTATAATATTTCGATTATTGTTCCTACTACTATAATAATAATAATAATAATAATAATACTCTCTCTAATTCACCCCCTTACGAGTGAATTTTAACCCCAAAAGCTGAGCTTGTCCGGGGAAAGGGACGGCTTATTATTTGCCGTGGCGCTCCGGGGCGACTTAAAGATGATTGATGGTGCCATTTGACTTACAGGTGAGGAAAACCCGGAAAACCTCACCCACCATCATGAAAACCTCACCCACCATCATAAAGTTAACTTCATGACATATTGTGTTGAAATGGAACCATCCCCTGAGGGTTTCTATTAGGATCTTTTCCAGCATATGGAATATTAAAACACATATAGTAGGTTTTTGCATGGCACATCATAATAATTTTCAGACCATATTTGTCTGGTTTGCTGTGTAAGTACATTTTTAATGTGCGTCGTCTTTTAAAATTTAATAGCTGCTTATCGATAGTTATATATTCGTATGGCGTATAGTTATTTTGGCAGTTTGTTATAAAACAGTCTTATATTTCTCTTATCGGTGCGAATTTATCCACTGTTTTTCTCTCAGCTCGCGTTGTTTTACTACCAAATTCGAATCGGTTTTTTGTCATTGTGTTACGAAATACTGCTACACCAAATTTTTCTGACCACATATCTTCTAAGAAAAGATGAGCATTTTTCAAAACCCCGGCAAAATACAGAAACCCAAACAAAGTTATAAGTTCCTTCCTTATTTATTTCTTGTAGATATCGCTGTTCCGAAGTATATTTTGATTTTTGAAATTCTATTTCTTAATTTGTACTTTTGACAATTATATCTTGTGGTTAAAAAAAAGTTGCCATATTTTTCGTTTATTTTGCTTTTATTTTGGGACCAGGTAAATGCAAAACAATATTTTTTGCAGATGTTCTTGTTCTCTTCGAAACTAATGGCTGCTAGAACCACTTAAAACCATTACGGCCAAAAAAATCCGGCACTATCCTCTGAAGGTTCTATCTCCATAGGGTCCTCACTGTTTTCTATCTCCTGAACTTCTTGCCGTGTATATTCATCTAGTACAGAATCGTTCTCATCTTCGCTGTCTTCTTCATCTTTATCCTCTTCATCCTGTCCTCGCTTATCTTCACTCAGTTCGTCTCTGTATAGCTCGTACCAGATTTCATTTTCCCTAAGAGGGCGCGTTCTTTCATGCAA